GGTATAGAGCTGGGTTTTCTTTGGGGGGACGGGGAATGGGTCGTTTTGAGGTCCAAGAGAGGGGGGTAACCTCCTCGGGCTGGAGCGATGGGGGCCAGGACGGGCTCCGGCTGAGGGACGGCCGGGCGGAGGAGGAGGCAGGGTGGGGAGGTTGGGGAGTGAACGAGTTTTCGGAGTGAAAGTCTGGGAGATGGGGTGTGAGAGGTGTGAGCGAATACAAAAGCGCGAATAAGCCAAACATTTTAACCAGCTAAACCTACCAATTGTACTGCATATTGTACGGAAAAACAGAGCGTACGCGATAACGCCTACTCGGCGCTGATCGAGGCGGCCCGGTTTGACTCCACCCGTCGGGCTCTGGAAGAGCTCGGGGATGTTCTCCCGCGGGTGATGGAGCTTGTGTTGGAGGAGGTGGAGGGGGCGCCAAGGCGGGCACAGCAGGGCCTGACGCTGCTGTACGCCTGCACGCAGGTACGAGTGCCGTACATGTGTACTGCAAAGTGGGCAAATCCTTGAAAAGCGTCCATCTCATGCCATCCGCAACCCCAGTTTTGAGTCTTTGGTCGACTGCCATTCAACTTATGGGCTCGTTGTGAGCCCCGACTGTAGCTCCGTACACATGCGGTTCCCGCGCTGTACCGTACACTGTCGTACGTGTCGTATATTAACCGGACATATTGGGACTTCGGTGCAGGTTCGCCGCAACGCAGGCGTGCTGACTCAGCTGGTCGACACGTCGCAAGCCATACCCCGCCTGGCGGAGCTTCTAGACCCGCGGCTGCCGCAACCTGTACGGCATGCGGCAGCGGAACTGCTAGGCGCTCTTTCCTCAAGAGAAGATGCCAAGATACAAGCCGTACAGGTACGGCACTGAGTGGCTCGGTCATAATGTCACCGACTTCTTCTTCATCATGCGGGGGAGCGTGGGAAAAGCTTGCAGGGTGTGGGTGTACGGGCGTGTAAGTAAGGTGTGTTTTTTGGAGTGGAGGGGAGGGGAAAATACCCGAAGGTCTCACGATTTAAACCTCTCCCTCTCCCCTCTCTCTTTTCATCCCTCCCCCCCCTGCGCAGGTGGGCAGCGTGCCGCTGCTGCTGCAGGTCTGTAGCCCCCGCTGCTCCGTGGACTTTGCTACAGCTGCAGTGGCGGCCCTGGCGGCAATTACCATTCGGCGTGAGGGCAAGTACGCTGTGGTGGAGACGGCGGGGGGCCTGGCGGCGCTGGTTTCGGTGCTGGACCCCGCCAACGAGCAGCTGTGCATCAACGCCATGACGACTATTTGCAACGTGGCGGAGGCGCCCGAGGCGAGGGAGATACTGGCCGAGTGTGGCGCGGTAAGGGCTTGGTGGGAAGGGGGAAAGGGGGGGGAGGGGGAAAGGGGGGGGAGGGGGGAGGGGGAAAGGGGGGGGAGGGGGGAGGGAGAAAGGGGGGGGGGAGGGGGGAGGGGGAAAGGGGGGCCCACTGCGACACCCCTGATGCCTTGCGCTCCGGAGTCAGAACACATGTCTGAGCTTGGTTTCGGAGCCAAGCTCCATGTTTAAAATGCAGCTGATATGTTGCTAATTCAATGACTAGGTAATACTTTACTCCACAATACGAAGATTTTTCCTTTAATTCTTTTAATTTTTTTATTCTTTTTTCCCGCTCCTCCTCTTTCCCTTCCCTTGCCTGCCTGCCGATTGGCTGTTGACTGGGCTTGCGGCTAAACTTGCGGTTTCCCATCCCTTCCCCTGCCACGTCGCGTAAGGCCCCCAAGCTGCAACGGATCTTTGAAGGTGCGCTTTCGGAGCCCCTCAAGCGCAGCGCAGCGCACGCAATACGGCAGTGCCGCTTCAAGCACCTGCCGTACGAGGTCCTGCCTGGCGCGCCGGCTTTGCTGGCGGAATGATTGGCCGCGGCCGCACACGTTGCTGGGCGACTGCGCAAATTGGCGAGACACCATACGACAACCTGACTGGCTGACGGGTCAGCGAGCACAAGGCGTGCCGGCCCGGCAGGCGTGCCGACCGCGGGGTCGGTCGGAGAAGGGGTTTCCCCGGGTTGCCAACAGGAACGGGAGCAGGAACGGGAGCAGGGAAGGCCTACCTGGTGATCACACCTGGGGGGAAATCTGGGAAGGTGCGGAGCGTCGGGCGGCGGAAAAGCAGAGAGAAGCGCAGGCGGTGGTGGCGGTGGTGGCGGAGGAAGCGGAAGATGATAGACATGTATAGACCTGGACATTGGGGAGTGTTGAGGTGGTGGTGGCCATTCGGCAGGGGGACGCGCAGCAGCGGGGTGGGGGAGCTGCAGCTGCTGCAGCTGCCGGTACGGTGCAGCAGAGACCCCGGTTAAGCCAACGCACAGGGCTGGGGGCTATATATGCTACCTATATGGTCGGCGGGCTGCGCGCCGTCACCGCTCGCTACCTGGGAGAGAGAGGAGGTCGAGGGGCGGAACTCTGATGCTACCGAGGGAGGCAGGGGCAGCGGGGGAAGCAGAGGGAGGGGATTGCCAGCAGGGGTACAATGCGGCGAGTTCAGTGGCGCGCGCCCGGGTACTCCTGGAGAGGGGGGGGAGAAGGAGGAGGAGGAGGAGGAGAAGAAGGGGGGTTGGCGAGGGACCCGCCAGCCTCTAGAGCGTTTGCAGCAATCTCGCAGCAATCTCTCAGCAGGTTTTGATGCCTCCGCGCCGGTGCTGGTCGGTGCTCGGGCGCCGTCTGGGGCCCACCACCTCACACACCCCCCCCTGGGGGGCCCACCTCCTAACATACATCGACTTCCGGGAGTAGCGGGTGCGCTGCGCTGCTTCCATAGCCGGTGCCATCCCACGCTGCTGTACACTTTACACGACTTGCAGACAGGGCCGGAGCGAGGGGATCTCTCCGCGCACATGGGGAAAAGGAGGAGAGGGGAGCGAGGGAACCTCCCGTGGGGATTAATTAGATCAATCAGGCCCAGAGGCCCCGTTTTCCGCATACTGAAGAAGTAGACGGGGATGGGGCAGGCCCAGCTTTTTACTGTATAAAGACATACACACGAGTGTCCACGACTGTGTGCCCCCCCTCATTCGGTTATCACCCCCCCAAAGAGCTTTTTCCACAGGCCGGTAGGCTAGGTGTGCACATGGAGAGGAAAGCATGAGGGAAGGTGGACGGGATACGGAGATACGCAACGCACTGAGCTCCGCCTGCGGTTTATTAAGACTGGAAAGCGGCTTATTGTTGCCTGTCCTAGCAAAAGTGACAAGGAGGCGCGGGAGAAATGCGCTCGCAGGTGTTTTGAGAGAGTGCCTGTGTGTGTGTGCGCGTGCGTGCGCGTGTGTGTGTATGTTTATGTGTGTTGCGAGGAAGAAGGGGTGACAAGGGCTCTCAAAGGACGCGTGCCGTGATATACCAAGGTTACTGCTGCCAACCCTCTCTTCTTTCCACATTCCAGCCTACAAAGCATCATGTGGGTTTTAGTAAAGATATCCCGTCTACAACCCCACTCGCACTTTGTCGCCGCGTGAGCGGTTTTACAGAATTAAAAACCTGAAATGGGCAGCAGCAGCAGCAGCAAGGACAGTCACAGCAATATGATATGAGCATTTCAAGAGTAGCAGTAGCAGCAGCAGTATAAGTACCATAGCGCAGTTGCCTGACTGTACAGCACACACCCAGCGGCGGCTGTATACGCGAGGAAGGGCGGCCTCCCCTCGGACAGACAGACAGACAGACACCCAAATGAAGCAGACTGGTCCAGGGGGAAACCAAAACAGCGTCCGGATCATCAACAAGAAATAATAATTGTGCCATAGTGCACAATAAAGCTGGGTTGGAGAGAGAGGGGATTTCGATCTATCCCTCCCTGTGGCTATAGCTTGAGCTATAATACAAACGCCAAGGCACATCTCCTCGCCATGCGGACTCGACTGCACATAACCCTCCTCTCTCTCTCTCTCGCCACCTCATTACACGCTCCGTACACCACCTCCTCCGTACACCACCTCCTGCACATCCCCCCCGTTCCCGACGTCCAGCAAACACAGTAAAAGGCAACTCCCGGCCCTACAACACAACAACAACAACAGCAGCTGCAATCAGAAGCATGTCCCTAACCTCACCTCGCCGAAACACGCGTCCCAAAGAGGGTTTTAAACAACACAAACACGCCTTAAATATCATGTGCCGCTATATCACGGTGCCACGTCTCATGCTTACACACGCAACATACGTAAGCACGTGCATACATACATACATACATACATACATACATACATACATATGTCATCGATTACATGTGGTAGAGACGCAGGGTCGCGCGCAATTGGACGAGCAGGAGGGGTCTGTGGGGGCCGCTCACGTCCCCCTTTCTCCTCCCGCTAGGGGGAGACTGCTTCGGCGGCCGCTCCTTCCCGTTGGGGTATACGGTTAGGTATACCCCTGGCCAGCGTCTGGCATGGGTCGATGTGTTTTACAGAAACAAACAAACAATGCATGCATAGATACATACATATGCCGCTCAGGCAGCGTCGAATCCCGTTTCATTGCTTTCGGCTTTCCGATTGACATTCGCCGGGTGCGTACATAAATTCACTCTCACACGCGCACACACAGCTGCACGGATGGTCCCTCGTCCTGTTCTGGCAATACTCACAAACTCACACATGCTCACAGACACACGTACTTTTACAGACTGACATACATGTTCAACCCGCTAGTGGGGTAATGAGCAAATCCAACACTTTTCAAGGGCCCCTATCCAGCTCTGAGACCCTGTTGCCCCTACCGCCTACCTCTGCCCGCGCTGCGGATATACACAGACGAGCCATACAGACTGGTACGGCACTAGGAAAAAACTGAAAATTTTCCTCCGTACTTTTTTCGGACAGCCGAGCAAGCAACAAGGAGCGCTGTGATCTGTCAGCTAGACATTCAAACCGGATTTGAAATTTGAAAAATCAGTTTCAGAACGCAACCACAACAGCAGCATATGCTGGGAAGGGGCATGAAACTTCCTTTCGTGGATTTTAAGTCGTACTGCACGTGTTTGCCAGTGTACGTTCATGTATTCGTATTCGTACTTGGGATAATCTCACGAATCACGTTGGCCAACTCGTGTCCGTACATTCCGTAAGTCAGCTATATCTTTTAAATTAGCTCAAACGAGATATACACTTGCTGACGATGATGACGATCAAAAAACATTATATCTTGAGTTAGGACAAGCAACGATAGTACACTAGGCATATCCAGCAACATGTCGTACTACAAGGTACACTGCCGTACTCACGCGTGCCTTTTCATCACTCCACCACCGCCAAGGCGTGCCAGCCGCCGAGCGCCAGGGCCTGCAACAGTACGATGAAAACATGTACGGCAGGCAGGGCCTCAAGTCTCAAGAGAAAAAGGTAAGGAAACGGTTCACAGTCAAGAAAGGGAACAGAATTCATTCAACGAAGAAAAAGAACGACAAATGTAAAAGATGAATGTCATTTTTATCTTAATAAGATCCAGAAGCTTCTTAGTGATATACGCCGCATGAATGCCCCCAAAAAGGAAATATGCAAACGGCTCCTCACAACAGACGTAGAAGGGAGGATCCGAGCGAAAAATATCCCCCAGCGAAAAACATCCCCCAGCGAAAAATATCCCCAAGCGAAAAATATTCCCAAGCGAAAACACTGTCACACGCACGCAGAGACTTCTTCATATGTACACACCAGAGCTATTCAGATTAAATGTCTGAACAGCAAAATCTGAATAGCGTTCAGATCAGTAAAACCCTAAGACAAGGGCACTTACGCGCACAGGGCCCCCCAAGCCGTCCAGTTTTGCCGGCGCCTTCCCGCCAAAGCCAGGCCAGTGCCACAGGACGTCGTCTTTATGCCGCGGCGGCGCCACCTCCGTCGGCCAATCGCCGCCGGCGACGCCGCCGTCTCCACTGCTGTCGTACGCCAGGTTCGGATGGCGCCTCGCGATGCTGTCCGCATGGTGACGATCTAGCAACCGGCCCCAGATCCAGACCTCCCCGAGCTCCGAAACCACGGCGGAGCTGTGCATTCCCGCCACGAGCTGCCGTACAGCATCCCCGACGGGCAGCGTCAGCACCAGGTTGGGCCGCCGCCACGACGCCGTCGACGCGACGGCGCCGGAGGCGTCTAGCGTCCGACCCACCATCCAAACCCGGTGACCGTCCGATAGCAGCAGATGCTGGAGCCCGGCGGCGATATGAAGAATGGGCGGGAGGTCAGGAATTACCCCTACAACCACCCGGCCACCTGCAGGCGGGGGAACGACGCGGGAGAAAACGGCGGGGGGGGGGAAAGAGATATTGTTTACTGTCGTACAACAACCCAACGTGTCCTCCTTCGCGCTTCTTCTTCTCCTTCTTCTTCTTCCAGTCTTGTCAGGAATCGCCCCACGGCTGGGCTGGGCTACGGCTGCTTGTGTGGTACTTCGTAGTACCACACAAGTACGACATGACCTCCTTTTGTACTGCGGCCGTACCACAGACCACGTGGACTCCTCTCCCCGCAAGCCCTTATCACCCGCCCCCCACCTCCCTCCCTCCCTTCCCCCCTCTCACACACACACAGATACCATTCACACTCGCTTCCCGAGGCTAAGCTCATTAAACAACACATACATACATACGTACTAGGGTGACTGAATGAGGGTGCCCCGATATGCCGGGGAAGGCAGGGTTTCGCAGGGTAGCTGCCACGGGTGAAGATATACCCCCCTGTTTCACACACACATACATACATACATACATACATACGGACACACATCGACCGGGAGACATTCCCCCCTACCTTGCACGATGTCGACGCCGCGCTCGGTCAAACCCAACGAACAGCCTCTGCTACTGCCACCGCTACTGCTGCTGCCACTACCGCTATCCACAGTGCTGCTACTGCCAGCTTCAGCACTGTTGGAGCTCCCTCCCTCTGTCTCGCCCCCCGGCACCTTGCCCCACACGACCACGCGCCCCGACGCGGTCAGGGCGGCGCAGAAGCTGCCGCCCGAAACAACCCGCCTCGCACCCCCGCTGTCCTCCAACACGGCCGCCAAACTACCGGATACCTTCTGCGGGGGCCAATTAATGCCATTTAATGCCAATTAATGATGATATCGCATTATAGATTAAGTTCTATATAAATATATGCAAATTGGATTGCGCATTGGATGCAAGATGTAAAGAGGAGGGAGTGAAGATGTTATGTGCAATGACGTCCAGCGTTTTGTACACACAGATCGTGCATACATGCAAAAGCTGTGCAATACATCGACTTAACAAATGTTTTCGCGCGCGCGCACACGCAAACGGCGTAGTGCGGGTTTTCAGGGTTCTCTCCATGTAGAGTACGACTGCCGAACACATAAACAACAACGCGCACACACCCTTTTACCCTCCCTTCCCTTCCGACCCCACCCCGTCGTTCGCACGAAACAAAAGGCCCATCTCACTCTCTTCCCACCATAACTCACTCCTCCCCTCCCCACCCTCTTCCCCACCTGCGCCGAGGTACTCCAGCTGCTATGGGACCCCAAGGACCCGTTGTAACAGGCACCAAATGTCCACACCTCACCCGCCTCTGTCAGAGCCGCAGAAAAGTACTTGCTAGCAGCCACCCCCACGACGATCTCCCTTTCCAGCCCGCTGGGCAGCACAACTCGCATGGAGGCATCGACTGCATGGCGGGCAAGCGGCCGGCGGCCGGTATGGTGCGTGAAGACGAAGAGCAATGGTGACCGGGGTGAAAAAACACATATTAGTCTCAGGTGCAGTAATCATGCACGGCCAGTGCCTGGCACAGTGGCTCTACTCTTCGGGAGTCTGGAGCCCGCTGTAACAACCACACACACACATTCACAAACACATGAAGGGAAAACAAAAGATGAACTGCCGGTGGCATCCAAAGGCAGGTTTGAGCCGCGAGCGGCGGGGTAGCACTGCAACACAGAAAAACACGCTCTCCACTTCAGCTCGGGAATACACAGCACGAGATGTGGCGATATTTCAATCCTCCTCCCCTTCCCCCAACATCAACACACCCGCTTCCCTCCCCCCCCTTTTTCCCCCCCTCTACACTTCCTCCTACCCCCAGCACAGTCTACTTGTCCCATGCCGTACGTCGTACAATCATGCTCGTACGACGTACGGCATCATACTCGTACACCTCTCCGCTCACCTCCTCCGTGTCCCATTGTCATTGGAGTCGTTGTCCCCGTCGCCGCCGCCGCCGCAGCAGCAGCAGCCCATAGGGGGTGCTGGTCCCGGCCTATCCGCAGCGGTGTGGCCTGCTGCCCAGGCTGAATGCCGCTGCCCGCGAATGCGCCCTCGAAATCCAGACCGCCAAAGTGCAGAGAGGAACGGGCGCCAGACACGGACACTCCGACAATGCCATCGCCGGATCCGCCGCCGCCGCCGCGGCCCGCCGCCGCTAGCGGCCTCCAGCCGCTCGCTGTCCTGCTACCCCCCCCCACACACACACGCGGGACCCCCGGGATCCCCGACACCGCCGCCGCACCGCGCCATTCCGAGGTCCACAACACGCCATCCGTGAGTGGAGGAGAGCGATGCCGGCGCCGGCGGCGGTGCAACGTTTGGTGTCGAGCAATCACCGAAAGCAATATCGCCGCAATCGGATGCGACATTTTATATCGCATTGGACACGCGGGGAGAGAGATGCAGAGGCGTGCAGAGGCGTAAGTCATACTATTTGCTTTTCAGCGGGAGCGGACCCAACCACGTGACAGCGGACCCAACCGTGGTGGTGTTGTACGTCGTCGTACATATAATATTATACGACACGTTGGCTCTTTACACGATTTACAGGTCCCTCACAAACTTTGTACACAAGACCCCCCCCGGGCGCATTCCGGACCATGGCCATTGGAAAACGCCCCGTCCCAGACCTTTCCGGTCGTGAATAATACGTGTTGCCGTACATTTGGCAGTTGGGTGCCTAACCGTACCTTTGGATACAACTTCCAACTACCAACAGTCCACACTCAGCTCCCCGCACACCCAGCCAGTACCCGTGCCTCATGTACCTGTCGGGGCCCCACTGGTGCTGGTGTACGGCACCGCTACCGTGGCCGTACGACGAGTGTGTCGTATGCGCCGGCGACCCGCTCCCTGGAGCACTCATGAGTGAGTGGATCGCTTGCCGAGCCCGCTGCTCCCGGCTGGCGCGGGGCTCCTGGGGATGGGAACCAAAAACACCAGCGGTTTTACGTGGGGTTTTAGGGTTTTAAGTGCGATTTGCTGCTGCTACTGCTACTGTAGCTGTAGTTTCTCCAAAACCGAACGCCTCCCCTCCCCCGTCTCTCCCGCCCCGGCCCGCTCCTCTACTCTACCCTAACCATCCCACAGTGCAACAAAACCCAATTTCCCCCCTCCCTTTTCCCCCCCCATTCTAGCTTCCCCTCCCCACACCCCATCTCACCCCGCCCTGCCCTGCCCCTCCCCCCCTCAATGTCGTACCGCTGCAACGGTTTCCTTCAACGCCCGAAATGTGTCGTAGAAGGCACGCCGGTGCTGGGTCGCAATGACCTCCAACGGCGTACCCAGCCCGCATTGACCCTCCTTGTTCTCGCCACAGGCCCACAACCCCCCGGACTGGTCCACAAACAGCGTGTGGGTATCGCCCAGGGCCACCTGCCGTACAGCTGCACGGCCCACCAGGCTTTCCACCTGGGGTGAGTCGGACGGTGGTGGTGTGGATGAGGGAGGAGGGACGGGGGCCGCGGGTGGAGGAAAGCTTGATGGGCGGGGGGGAGGGGGGCCACTCCAGGGGGGAATGTAGGAGGAGGAGGAGGAGGACTAACCGACGGGTTTTGGGGTGTCTGTCGTTGTTCAAATTTTGAGAGTTGATAGAGTTGATAGAGTAGGGAAATCGTGCAAGTGGGAAAGTTTGCGACATGAACTGGATGTACACAAGATGGGGCCAGGTCAAAGCCGTAATTTGAGCACGTACAGCATATAGTACATATTTGGGGAGAGGATGGATGTTGGGTTGCTTTGGAGGGTGCGAGGGAGGTTGGGCCGCCGGCTGAGCTGCGCATGAGCTGGTGGAGGGAAGAAGACTACGATGGTTGGGGGTTTGGATATTGCAAAACGTCACAGGGTCCATTAAGTTATCCTGAAGACAGATATAGAAGCTTATTTGCGCGGTAATGGATAGGAGAAGCAGACTTTCCAGAGCTTAACAACGAAGATGTGGTGACGTGGCAAGGGCTGGACCTGAGCAGTTAAGTCTTGAGCTCTGGGACGTTTCCACATGTCGCTCCCAGGTGAATTGAAAACGTTTGCATGGGTTGAAGGAAGACAGCCTCTTACAGGCACCAGGTTTAATGCTCACTCGATGCGGCGAGTGGACGTGCTGTGCCGTCCCGTGCCCGAGCTTTCCGCCCTTGCCATCGCCCCATGTCCATGCTTCGCCATGAGCTGTCACTGCGCTGCTGTGCAGTTTGCCAGCGACGACTTCGGTGACAGCAGCATCGTGCAGTTCTATCACAGGCGTTGGCCTCAGTACCAGCAATGAAGACTCAACGCCACATTGCCCTTCAACATTCCGCCCCCTTCACCGAAGTACACGCAAAACGGCATTACGTTGTTGTATTAGGGTTTGATTTCCACTACGCCAGCCACAAAATCGGACATCATTATACAGCAATAAATCATCGTGCTAAAAAACATGAGCATATTGCAGGCATTAGGCAGGGGTGAAACCAACCCACAGACTCATCCTTACCAAGAAAGGACCGCAAGACCACGCGAAATAATCGATGCTACTGTTGTTGCTGCTGTAACATTCGATGGTATCGACTGGCAAGCCGACAAAGAGTGAGAGAGCATTCCCTTGTACAGGGGTAAACAAATTCGTGCTATATTACTCAGGGCTCGACAGCAGCCGTCCCTGTATTGTTGTGCTTGGACACGATGTACAAAGCAATATTGCTAACTCTTAATATGCTATGCGCATTGCATGCTGGATTATGCGGCAGTTGTGCTGTTGCCGTACAATCTTTTTACATGGCCATTGTTGCCACTCTTCACCCCCAAACAAACAACAATACATCACAACTTTGTCTTTTCCTCATCCTGAGTGACCTGGGTCTGACTGCCTGGCCCTCCGTGGCCAGTTCTGACCAGCCATCGCCTTGACCTTTTTGCTTGCACGTTGTTACGCATACCAATGCTACAAACAAGCGCGAACTCCAAATGTATCAGGGCTAATGTGTCTTCTCTGGCCGTCTTACCCGCGGCAACTTTGCCAAAACCCGGCAAGGCGCTCTTTCCATGGCGCGGCATTCAGTCCAGGCGACAGGCCCCAGCCGGGACCACACCCGCGCGCTACCCCCTAAAGGCACTGCAAGAGGACGCTTCCGGCATCAGCCAAGGTAAGCCCTCATTGGCGACATTACAACAGCCTCTAGCACCTTTCGCTCGGATGCATCGAACGGAGCTCAGCGCGACAAAAGTTACAGGCGCGGGCTTGATTGCCGGCAGCACTACTGCGTTGCTGATACTGCCGCTGTTGCTGTCAGTGGGGCCCTAGGCGAATGGAGTACGACCTGGAGCAATGGTGGTGGGGCCAGGCTTCTTGGAGTCGTAGCTGCCAAGCGTCAGCTTCCTCTTGACCACCCTTAGCGGATACCGACATACCTGCCGGATTCACAAGTACACACATACATACATGCATAAATACATACATGCGTACGGACGTATACGTGCGTGGTCGCAGTGCACCTACACGTGTGTGAGTGTGTGTGTGTGTGTTTTACATGGTTGGGAGTGCGTGACCCCATACCTGTAAAACTACCCATACGAGCCGAAGGCCCAAGGGCAACATTACTTCAACGCCTAAAAGCCACGGAGAAAAGGAAACACCGCACTATCAGCCCAGACTAGCACCCAAAGGGGGGATAAGTGAGTTGCGGTGAGCCCACATACGTGCCAACATCCTCGCCAGACGTGCTGGTTCCCATTTCATGGCCTCCAACATGCTCTGTTGATGATCGGATCCCTCTTCCGCACGAATATTTTTATAGGCTGGGCATTCCAATAACACGTGTTCTTCATCCTCGACTTGGCTATTGGTGCCACAACAGCGGCAAATTCGCTGCTCCCTGGGGACATGGTACTTGCCCTTTCGTGCTCTGTTTGCCTCCAAAGCCCAGCAACATAAAAACGAAACTACACACCTGATTACGATGTGCGCTAAACGAGGAATGAAAACCTTAGCATGCTGTGTTGGCCACATGACGGCTGCGGCAGCCCCGAAAGCGGCAGAGCCCCATCCAGTGCTTATACCCCGCCATCTGTACCCCCCCGGTTGCTTCCCATCTGATGGGTACACCTCTGGCAAGAAAGTCAGACGCGCACCGCAAATGGTCCCAGCCGCTCATCAAACGCTCCCTTAGTGCTGTTATCACGGCTCCTCTTCGAGGCGAGGCCTACCCAACCACCAGTCAACACGCTCCTTTATCCCCACGACTTCTTGCGGTATTCCCTACCTGTGGCTCTGTGTGTGTGTGTATCATATAATATTGCTGCCAGGCGTGTCCGTTGCAACCACCTCAACGGACAACGGTCAACCAGCCAACGACGCGCCCGCAGCGGCGGCAACCGCAGCTGCTACCGATGGCGCCTCTGAAGCACCGAGTGCCCGCACCGCCCATCTCGAGGGGGGAAACGGGGCGGCAGTTGCTGCCAACAGCAACAGCAGCAAAAGCCAAAGTGACGACCATGGCGCCTGGCGCTGGGAGGAAAGCGATGATGCTGTACGGGCGTACGGCTCACTGGTAGCTCTGCTGGCGCTCGGCAACTTGCCCGTACTCCACGGTACCAAGCTGGCAGATCTGCCGTACTTTGTAGGCCTGGCGATTGTGACGATTTACATTGGAGCCCATCGAGGCCTTACGACGCGACAGCGGCAGCAGATCTCCATTAAAGAGGTAAACCTACCTCCATATTTGCTGGGAAGGTCCGGTTCTGGATCTGGATCTGGATCTCTGGATCTGGATCCGGGGTCAAGAGAGGGACATCTGCGCATTTGGCGTGCAGAGAATGTGTATATGAAAACAACAATCTGAACAGGTCGTTGTTCTGTCTGAACAGGAAGCGGGACGTATCAGCGTCCAAGGAAATGATTGGCCACAAGTAACCCGCGTACAACCCCTCGAGAGCAGCCTCCTCCATCGTGCAGCACACCCTTACTTTGCCAGCACGCGCCTGTAAACCTAGTTATCCTGGCGCAGCTACTGCCTGTCTGCCGTACCTAATGCCGTATTTCCCGAACTACTTTACAGGGTATTTTGGCGCCAGTATTGGCATCTGTGAGTCTGTTCGGGTTCTACCTTCTTATCAAGTACTTGCCGGATTTCAACGTGAAGGCCTTCTTGTAAGCGACCCTCTGCTTTGCTTTAGAAGTTGACCCATCTGCTTTGCTTTAGGAGTTGACCCATCTGCTTTGCTTTTTTTCGGAATCGTGTAGAGCGTAGTGTAGTGTATTTGCTTAACATCAGCGATTGTGCGTGCGCGTGTGTCCAGGGGAAAGGGGAGGGGTACGCTTGTGTATGCGTGGGTACAGTACGGCCGTGTCGTACATCGAAAAGTGCTCTCGCTCGTCCTCGTCCTGCTGGCTCATTCCCGCCCATGAAAGTGCACTACTAAGACTTATTGGCAGCACTACCGTCAGCAAGGGGGTAGCGTGCGGATGAAAATATAGTGTTACAGATTAAGAGGGCTTTACCAGCTGCATCGTGCCGTACTTTGTCGTACTACAGGAACGCGTATTTTTGGATGTTGGGGACGTTTGCCATCGGCGGCGCAGCAGTGCCCGTACTCCGAAAGGTGGGTGGCAGGGATAAATATGACTTTCTCAACCTTTATGTTTCTCGTTAATGTATTTCATGCTGTGCTGTTAATTATTTATGATGGAAATAATGTATCTGCTGGTATGTCGTCTGTATAATAGGAACTACCGTTTTACGTTATGTGGTCTAATCCAGCCGTACTGTTGTACATGTTCGTACAGGTGGGCGGTCCATTGGGTGAGCTAAACCTCAAGTTCAAGTTGCCAGAGGGTTTGCTTCTGGACGAGGACGGGGCGAGCATCACTGAGGTGAGCTTTCGGGCTTCAGTTTCAGGGAATAGGGACTGCTGCTGCTGCTGCTACTGCTGCTGATACTGATACTGCTATGGCTGCTGCTGCTGCTGATACTATGGCTGCTGCTGCTGCTTCTATGGCTGCTGCTGCTGAGTCCGCCACTATATATACTCGCCGGATAACGTTTTGCACATCACCTTCCACACGCACCTTTTCACATGGACCGCACCTCCCCAAACCCACCCGCACTGCTCACGTTCGTCCTCTCCCCCTCCCCCCCCTTCACTCGTTCGTGGTTCGTCTTTTCCCCCCCCTCCCCTTTATGGGTGTCGCTCGAAGGCCGAGGCCGCCCCCACGGACCTGCTGGCCGTGGCTCTGGCTCTGGGGCTGTCCTCGGCGGAGCTGCTCTCCGGCCACACAAGCTTCACCCTCAACAACCTGGTCGCTACCTTGGTGGCCACGGATATACTGCAGCTCATAGGCCCTAGGAGCTTCCGTACGGCAGGGCTGTTGCTGCTGGGCCTGCTACTGTACGACGTGTTCTGGGTATTTGGCTCGCCCAAGGTGAAATTATCTTATTATTATCTTATTATCTATTTTGGCGCCTGTTTGCTAATTGGTTTTTTTTATTAAAACCATAAAAAACCAAAACGTAAAACATAAGAAATGCATGCCTTGCAATAGGTCCACGACGCAACAGCGTATCCAGTCGCGCACGTATGTATGTCGTTACAGGGTGGTTAAGCTTCACCAGCGGCCCCCTTTCCCGAGGCAGTTCCCTGCTCTCCGTTGCTAGAGGGGCACCCTAGACCGTTCACCCCATCCGACTTCAGAATGTATTCGTTGGGTCTAGCAACTCACCACCAGCATCCAACCAAATCTAGCGGATCAACGGCGCCTCAACTTAGTTCCTGGTCAGCTCGCAAGTTGATATTATCACGTCCTATACCGTCCATAAGGAGGGGAGCCACCTCCCATTTCAACACTCCTCAAACACCCGAGAAGTCGGCAGGCGGATCGGACACTCCGGGAGCAGAAGTCAGGCCTTAACCTCTGCCAGCCGCCTGCCTGTATGTATGTATGTATGTATGTATGTATGTCCTTGAATGCTATTCTATGTGTGCTCGTGTATCGCGGTTTTATCATTTCCAGGTGGTTGGGGATAACGTAATGCTGGCGGTTGCCACTTCGGACATGGTTTCGGGGCCCACTCGCATCCTCTTTCCCCGCACCCTCGACGGCGGGAGCACCGTAGAAGCCGCCGCCGCGGCCTTCCCGTACTCTCTCCTAGGCCTGGGCGACATCGCCATCCCTGGACTGCTGGCCTGCCTGGCGCTCAGGTGGGACGTTTTCTGGAACTGCGCCCGGGCGAAGGAAGTGCTGAGACATGGGGCACATGAGGGATGGAGTACATGCGGTATGGGGCACATGAGGGATGGAGTACATGCAAATGTCCAATGCCACAGCCGGCCGATATGGCTAGGGTAGCCCAAAGGCTTAGATAGAAAAGTTATCTCACCTCAATCTAATTAGATCTTATTAGTTCTAATTAGATTGGTTCAGAATCTCATCTAAGGATTTCTACTGCTACTTCTCAAACTCTTAATCAATCTTCATGAAACTTGGTAATTATGTTCCTAGTGGTTAATATATTCTATTGTAAGTATATCATATCATATCATATACGGTCCTCATCACCTTGCGGTGAGGCGCCAAGTTATCGGCGCCAGCCTGGTGCTAGGGGCTCCCATGCATAGCTGTAGTCGTCCTGTATGGATGTCCCTGTGGGCGTGTACGTGGATTGACCCATGTGGGCATTCACGTGCATGGAGTCGCGAATATGGTATGTATTGTATGTATGTATGTATGGTACGGCACATGCATCCCGCAGGTACGACGCCTCGCGCTCGACGGACATGCGGGCGCGGGCCGTGGCTGCAGCGGAAGCGATCACTTCCGCTTTGGCGGCGCTTGAGCCTGGCGCCACAAGCCGCCAGGTGGGTGCGCCTGTATGTATGTCTACCTGTTTTGGGAAGGAGGAATTTGAAGTAATTTGGGTCCATTCCCTCTCGGGACATATCCATCATAAGAGGGAGATGTGAGAAACCCCAGACTGACAGTTTCGGAGCTCGAAATGTGCCGTACATTTTCACCCTATCTGTGTTTCGTTTGTACGGGGCTTGTGTCACCATCATGCTTTGCGAGCTTGTGAGGGATTTTCGCCAAACCTGAAGTCAGTCGGTGAAACGACTGGCATTTCACGGACATGCCACTGAAGGAGGGAAACCCAACCCGTGACCATCGACTGAGGGCGCTGATGGTCTTTGTGAGGTTCATCATTTTAAAGGAAGCCATCTTGCGGTACAAAAACCTCCCAACCGCCAACTACCCAACCGCATAAAATGTGCCCCATTGCCGGACTGCTGTCTCCTATCGGCCGCCCATGCCCGCGTCGGGGCTCTGGCCTTGGCCGTTTGTTTCAGATCGCCGACGCCACCGCCGACGCGGCCGAGGCGGCGTACGACAGGATCGCTGACCAAGAGGCCCGTCAACGTACGGCATCATTGGATGGAACCAATGCAGCAGGTCACGGCAGCGGCGGCGGCGTTGATCACAGTACGGCAGCGGCAGCGGCGGCGGCGGCGGCTGCCGCAACCCGTGGTGCGTCGCTTCTGCTCGATATGTCTACCGCCGCCGCCGGGGGCTCTGCGACCCGGGCTTCCGCGCGCACCAGCCGGGGCGCGTCCATTTCAGGTCGCAGTGGTGGGGATTCGAACCCGACTCCGGATGCCAAGGTTTCTAAGAGCAGTAACACCAGCACTGCCTCTTTCTCCCAGTCTTCATCCCTTTCCCCACCTGGGCCAGATGTCAACGGCTCCGGTACCTCAGGACTGTCCCCGCAGGGAACTCAGCCGCGACTGCCGGTTTCGGAGGCAGTGTTGTACCAACGCAAGTACTTCACTGCCGTCATGTTTGCGTACGTGCTCGGGCTGGTGGGCGCCTTTATCGCTAACGACGTGACGGGCCTCGGCCAGCCGGCGTTGCTGTACATCGTACCGACGACGCTAGGTGCTGTCGTACTTACAGGTGTACGGCGCGACGAGCTTGGGCGGCTTTGGAGCTTCACAGACGTGCCGTCGTACGGGCTGCAGCAGGGGAAGGCGGGGACGGATGGGACGAAGGGTCCAACCCTTGGCGTGGCGGCCCGGGAGCGTGGCACTGGCCGCGGGTAGAGGCATGCAGGCTGTTGGTGTGGTTTCATACTTGCAGTGAACAACACGTGACAAACTGAGTTAAGACGACCAAGAAGAAAGTACAAAGGGATGTCAAAGGAACGCAACTATGCCGAAGAATGTAGTTTCAGCTAAAAAAATTGCCAGTAGTACTGGACTGCCTGAAAATAGTATATATGGTCATACATTCGATTTCCAATTTTGGATTTCTAAAAGGTTGAAATATCGTGCAATTCAACATGCCTAGGTTTGCATCTAGTTAGTGGAAGTCTGTATGTCTGCATGCATGTGTGCCTGTGGGAGCTGCTCGTCGAGGCCCATATGCGCACGCGCCAATGTGACAAACCTCCCGGCCTACCTCGACGCGTGCGCCGCGCGTGCCCCTCGATGCACTGGGCCCGGCTGGAGGTCCCAAGTCGGAAAGGACCCTGGGCTATGCGTACCACATAGCTACAATCGTTCGTTTGTCAGAGCACCAACAGCCCCCAATCGTTAAACCATATGGATAAAGCTGACAGCCACTTAGTAGAGGGCGGGGGGGAAGGTTGTCCGGCTTGCTATGCGACTGTCGATAGGGGCCCACATCGCCCATGTTGACATGGGCGCATGCTGATCTGGGGGAACTGAAGGGTTAGAAAGGCTGCTCAGACGGCTGGACCCTGGCATATGGACAGCATCTCCGTCAACGCCCACTGCCTACCCAAACAAACCCCTCTGTCGCGCGCAATCGCCCGCGCGCGTGGCACTTTCCCCAGCACTTTCCTTCACGCGCCTCAATTGATTGAAACAATATCCTCTCCGCGGGACGACCATCTGGGCGTGAGTGTTCCTTGGACTAGGTGCGCACACACAGCGACACACAAGGCCACCAGTCTTCCTTGGCACTTGCGGCAGCCCGGAGACAAGTCCAGTCGAAGTTGTGACACATGCCATCATACGCGCACGATGGGATGACGGAGCTTCAGATTGGCGGGGCGCTCTCCAGGGGGCTGAAGCGGTTACATCTCCGGGATAGGGGCTGTTAAGACCAGCAAAGCGCCAGACCCACGTATAGTCCTATTACTACTGTGTTACCATCCTCTAGGATATGAGTGTCGGTCGTTTTCCAACAGGGGCCTTCCAGGACAATGAGAGCCTTGTGGGTTTTCCTTTACAGGCGCGGAGTCCAGGTGGTAATGAAGCTTGTACGGCATGAGTGGGGGCGCAACAAGTCATCCCCGTAGATATCGCGAAGGTAAGGGTGGCTAACAGGAGTGCATTGCTGGCGAGGAAGAGAGATAGCCCCCTTGCCAAGGCAAGGCAAGGCAAGTGACCGCAAAGCCGGCGCCTGACATGCCCCGTTCCCTCGCCCTATTTGTTGTACGGCGGGCGCTGGCCGGCGCTCATCCACCCCAGGATCACAGGTGACGCCGTGTCTTACAGAGACGACTGGGCAGACTGAACAAAGCCTTGGGCGGGAAGCACGGCTTCCAGTCGGCCCGGAAACGGGCGAGCAGGACGCAGAGGCGAACGGTTAAGAAAACGGTTAAGGGGGGCGGGGGAGACTGCAGGTGATAATGGGCTTCAGATCGCGGGCCAGGTGCCGTCCTGTGCCATTTCCTGTGCGGATGGGAGTGCCATTATCTGGCGGATGGGAGGGGCCAAACCCAATTTGCAACTTGTCGTGTAAATGTCCGTTGTATAAATGCCGGATAAATCCTCATGCACCGAAGAAAAATTTGAACAATCCTAGGACAGGCCAGGATGTTTGACCGTGCCAGAAAAAAGAGCTTAACATCTCATTTTTCGCACGTGTACGTACGTGCCTCTAAAACTGTTATGTAGTTATGTAGAACAGCTTTTTCGCTATTAAAAAGGAGGTCAGAACTCTTTTGGACATTTAGGCTGGGTCGCAAGCCGTTTTGTTGCGGCGGATGAAGGAAGTCGGAGGATAAAGGTGTCCGGCAGTGTCTGTCCCTCGAAGACGCGGCCCAACCCAAAAGAGGTCGAGAGGAAGCTACGGTGGTGCACTGCGATGGCGGGCGGCTGGCTGAGGCTGGCCTTCGCATCTTCAGCCCTTATTACTCGCTTTTTTAAGGGGTCCTTATTCCCTGTTTACTCATTATGTATGCAGTTCCTGGCATCTTATCTGTGATGCATTCGGTCATATTTTATTTTTTCCTAAGATACGGGCGAGCAGCAGAGCACAGGACCAGCTGGCATCGTTACCTTACGTCCACATTTTTCTTACGGTCGGCCGTAGACTGAACAAATCGATGTTATGCTCCATCGCTCACGCGCCGCGGCTCACGGCACGTCGTATGATGAGACCTTGAAGTTAACTCTTCAAAAAACGTTACTCTTGGCAATTGTCGCGGAACATAGCGCAAGCATCGCCCTGCAGCTGCATCGCGGATTGTGCCGCGCCGCGCTCCCGTCGCAGCTGGTCTTCGCACCGAGATCATCTAGAATCATATGTGAATCAAATCGGGATAAAAATGCAACAGGCTTGGTCTGTTTCAGCAACAGGTGCGAAAGGTTGCCTCATTAGGCTTCTGGGAGGCAGGACAGTACTGTCCAGTGTACCGCGGCGAGAATTTAGCGCATAACGCTTGCAACGACCAAACTGTACAGGAAGGATTTGTGAGATACCCAATACAGAACGCAATGGCACAATCCTATTGGATTGTACCAAGCAGCAGGCTGCCAGCCAAACGCCGACACATCGTGCCGCGGCTTCGTATTGCTTAAACGTCATCGCGTGATCCGTACTCACTACTAACTTATTGTGGGGAAGGCCATTGCGTCTGCGACCACACTCCCGCGGTACCCAAACCCTTCAAAGACAACTCCGATCAGCCATTTGGCTGTTAGTGGGAGGGCGGGTGGGCCGCTCGCACGGCAATCGAGTAGAGAGTACGAAAATAACCTAATGCAGTCATCGACAGCAGAAAACGTAAGCCTCCAGCCTCAGGCCGACTCTCTTACCTACCATTCATATTTTCTACCTCGTTCCCAAGACTCCGCCGCGTTGCCTCTAGTTCGACTCGTGCCACAGGTAACTTCGCTCGTCGCTACTTTGCCATTCACCTTCGCCTCCACCCAGCCTCTGCTTCTCCACAGAAGCGGCGACCTCCTTCGCCGTTGTTACGCCTCGTCTATGCGAATCCTCCTCATCCGACTGGGTCTTCTGCCTACCCGGTGCGCGCCCCTCTCTCCGCGCATCCGTCTCTCCGGTCCTCTCTAACGGTTGCCTACCTTACTGCAGGACTCGCCCCTTGCCTGTCCGTTGCCGGGTAGGCTTTTCTTGCCTTCCCCGGCCCCACTTGGGGCGCCCCTCCTTGGCTCGTCCACTACCTTACTTCCATCCGTT